TTTAAAAAGTTAATTCAGTAGTAATTTTCAAAATAAATAATATTAAATAAAGAAAATTAAATTACTCTCGAGGAAATTACTGGCACAAAGATTAAATTTATAACTATGAGAGAAATAATGGTTTGTTCTATATTAAAAACCATGGAACAGATTCATAACATCTATAACAGACCTCCTTTCTGTCAAATGATTAACATATACGCATGAATAGTCTAAAATGGTTGAATTGTATTGTTCAATTATGTCATCTTTAAACAGGAATATGCAGTTGTTTCTGCTGCAATGTTCATTTACTTTTAATGTAATTATCTATTTGTAAATTTCCCACAATAAACATTGTACATAATTTTAAATCACAATTTAGATTCTAATTGATTTTTGTTGATTTATATTTTTATTTCAGTTGTTTTACCAGTTTTAGACCAATTTGACAATTGTTCAATTGCCTCAAAATTTATATCTGGAAAGTACTCTGAATGACAAACCTATTAGTTCAAAAAACAGCCCTTATACCCTTATAGTTTTGCTGCAAATAAGGGTTAACTTTAACGGGCTATAACCCCGAAAATAATGGGCAGATCATCAGTTTTTTTAAATACTCGTTTTTCCGAGTACTTTCAAACCATATTTTAAAATAAAAAAAATTAAAAAAACATTATTGCAATTGTTTGTAAGCGAGAAAATTGCGAAAATGTTTAAATTTGAATTTTTCAAAAAGCATTTTAAAGCTTAAGAGCTCTTCTTTTTGCGATGAAATTTTCAAGTATTCAAAGGCTTTAGATTTTTAGAAATTTGATGTTGAAAATTATTTAATTTAAAAAAAATAAACAATTATTATGTAAAAACTATTGAACCGAATTGGATTAAATTTGGTGTGATGATTCTATGCACTATGAAGTTTAATTGGGAAAAGTATGAAGATCCTAGGTATTATTCAAGTGTCTGAAAAAAATTGACAAATAAACTAGCATTTTTTGCAATTTTTTAAATGATTTTTCCTATTTTTGCAATAACAATTATTATATTTTCGAATAATTGCAACTAACTCTATCTTGTTCAAAATTTAATTATAAAAATTTTTATCCTCTTCCATTTTTGTCTAAAATGAATAGTTGCTAAGTTGTCGACGAGAAATCCAAGAAAAAAAAAAATTTTTTGCCAATTTTTTATACTTTATTGCAATAACAATAAAGCCCACGTTTTTTTTATTTGTATAGAAAAATTATCATTTCTGATGTTATTTAGAAGCCGATAAAGCAAAAATCTCCGATCATATGCGTTTTACCCAACCCGAAACAGATACCGCCTGTACTACCAGCAAAAATTGTTTCAAATACAGCCGGATTATTTATTTGTTATATAATTTAATAATGCATAGTTTTATCTGCCTGCTAGCTTTTAAATAGATATATAACCGTTTTTTTACGTTGCCGCAGCTGCCCGTACCCTCGTGTAATAAATGAGTTAAATAGCAAATAATTAATTTTGGTATTTGGCGTAGTAATCGAATTTTGTTAGTATAATTAAACTTGATTATATAATTAACCCATCACAATAAATTATCCGAACGTGTAGTGACTTTTTGTGATATTAATTAATTAGGAATATTGTAATAGGCTAGGCGATGCATAAATAATATATATCTAGCGGTTACACTGAATATGTCACATCTGCCTGCATTAATTTCATAGGTGAGCAATTTCGGGTACGTGGGATTTAATGGAAAAAATCAATCACAGCCCGTATCGATGTTATGGAACAGCTTATTCTGGATAAACATAAAATATTTAACCTGTTCTAAATATGTTACATATATCAGCCAAAATTTTGTCACAGTTTCATGCTTTGGCACAAATTTATGTCCTGCGATTAAGTATAAAGTATTCGGTATGTCGATTTATTGGTGCTTTCGCACTAACATTAAAAGTACGTTATTTATAAATCAGTATAAATACAAATTATGAACCAACAGAGTAGATTGAAAATTATGTAAATCAAAGTCTACCTACATGGATTAATATAAAAGTTATTTGAGAAATATACCTACATGCAATTCTATAAGCTTTTTGATTTTACGATTGATGTTTTTTTAGTGTTAAGACATTTGCAAGAAGTTTAGGTAGTAATTTTAATGTTACATATTTCCTTAGGCTTATTGACATTTTAATTAGTAGACACATTCTAAGAAACCTATAGTAATATAATTTAAAATCATATTGAACTATAATTTTTGTTGTGTTGCCGAAAATATCACTACTTTTAATTTTCTTTGAACATTGAATATATTTTTCTTTTTTAAGCCTTATGTGATTGATAACCCAATTTCATCATTTTATTTTGGCATGAAATATCTGTTTTTTTAGATATATGTTTTATTATTAACTGTTGTACATTTACTTTATCTTAAATGCTAAATATTTCAGTGAATCCAAATAAATTTCAAAAAAATCATATCAAATGAAGTCAAATATTGTTCTTTGATACCAAAAATCTATAACAAATATATTTAACCTCGTAGACAAGATTCTTAACTGATGATATTATGGAAAACAATATTATTAGTTAACATGCCCCGACTAACATTGAAATAATGATCTAAAATATATAATAAAAATGATATACATATCTAAATAATATTAATTAAAAACACAAACAATCCCCAAAATGTAGAAATTGCTAAGATTTATCTATCGTGGCTATATCTATTTGTAAGGTTGCATTGTTTAATGAATCAATGTAATATCATTTAAATATACAGGGTGTTTCGCATAAGAACCGACACAGACCAGGGGCATGTAGGGGAACGCAAAATATGATGATTTAACGCAACCTACCTTTATACTATGCTGCACCCCTGAGAAGTTATAGACCTTGAAAGTGGGGTGTCAAAAAAGTCTCGGTTATACTTGAACTTAGAAAAACCAAATTTGGTACACCGTGTGAGTGTACCAAGAGTATTAATCGACAAGTAGAGTTCAAGATTTTAAAGAGTCGAAAAATGATGATGTACCATTAAAATGTGACAGATTTTTTTAACCCGTTGGCGGAACAACTAATAAATTGGTATTGTAACTGTTCATCATCAAAAATTCAAAAGTTGGCTATGAATTTAAACGTCAAACTTGACAATCAGAAAAAAAGTTGGAATATGAATAATTTAATAGAAAAACTTAAACAAGTTATAGAAATTGTTCAAAATGGTCATCGTTTTTTCTCAAGGCATAAATTTATTCTTCGTCGAAAATTGAAATCTACTCTATCCAATAACTGCTTTTATCCGAAATGCGATTTCACAATCAATTCTGCTCGAGACGCAACTAGCGAGGAATAAACAAATTTTTTTAACGTTCCCCAAAGAATGAAGTCACATTTGTTGAGGTTTGGTGCTCGTGGAGGCCATTGTGGGCAATTATTTCCTCTCCCAATCCATTTTATTTGTCTATTCCTCGTCAATTGCGTCTCGAGCAGAATTGTGGAATCGCATTATGGATAAATGCAAATTCACTAGAAACAGTCAACAGTTATTGGATAGACTAGACTAGACATTTTTCGACGAAGAATAAATTTATACCTGAGAGAAAACGATGATCAATTCGAACAATTTGTATAACATCAGTGCAAATTGTATGTTATTTCTGTTATTTCAGTTGTTTGCTTTTATATTAAGATATTCTTATTCCAACTTTTTTCATTCCTATTCGTTTAATTAAATTCATAGCCAACTTTTGAATTTTCGATGATTTTAAATAACACAGCTACAACATATTAGTTATTCGTGTTTTTATTGAAAACGACAAAGTTTTTTTTTAGACTAACAAGAGTAAGAAAAGTTTTAGAATTAAATTCCCCATAAAATAAAGTAGGAAATATTTTTTTTTAGTCCGCCAACGGGATAAAAAATCTGTCACATCACATGTTAATGGTGCATGATCCCTTATCAACCCTTACTGTCGATTAATGCTCTTGGTACACTCACACTGTAGCTTTGTTTTTTTTTTCAAGTTCAAGTATAACTGAGATATTGATTTTTTTCGAAATTTGAAACCCCACTTTCAAGGCCTATAACTTCTCAGGGGTGCAGCTTAGTATAAAGTATAGTATAAGTTGCGTTCTAGATATTGCTGGTATAATTCAATGCTAATCAGGGCATGTAGTACGTAGAATAGTTGTTTTCGCAATATCGTTAATTTACTATCTTATCTAAAGCTGAATACTTTGTGCGTACCTAGGTTGTTGGTATCAAAGACCATTCTTTGATATAATTTGTAAAGATCTTTACGGAACATTTTTTTTGTATTTATTGGAATTAATCTTTAAAATAAAATAAAGATCGATAGATTATTTGCTAGGTACTTTGCTATTGCTTTTGCTATTAATTGCACATAGTGATATTCCAAATTGATCATAAAAGTAATTTCTTTTGGAGTAAGTTTTTTGTATGACTAACATAATGTAAATTTTTTTTACAAATTTAGTAATTACTTACATTTAGTTTTGTACAGAATTGAATAATAATATATTACACAAAATTTCACATTTCTTTAGACAAAAAAATCATTCTCCAACGTTTACAATGAATTGCAGAAGTTTTTACAGTTTTTTTGTAAAATTATAAATAATGACTGGGGCGGCTTTGAACACATTTATGAATTTAAACACACCATGAGGCTATTTGACAGAATGATCTTCGTTAAAAAACGTTTACGAAAAAAAGTAGTGAAATTAATTCTGTAAATTATATCATTTGCATTTTATTTTTTAACCAGATTGCACAATTCAAACAATGAGCAGAATTCCTTAATACTCGATTGCTTCTATAGTTAAACTAAAACATCTAAAGGAAAATCAAATCCAAAAATTCTATTCTTATTTGTACTAATAGTTAACAGATTTAAATTTACGAGAAATAGTTACTTTCTCCTTTTCGTCTTATAAATAAAAATAGTAATTTAAATTCTAGTGGATAAGTATAGAAAAATAAAGCTTTTCTTTTTTTGCAGATAGAGGACGCGATGCTCATGTTTGACAAGCAAACAAATAGGCATAGAGGTAAGTAGATATTAACATGAATATAAACAACTTTATAGTATAATGCATATTTACGTCCAACTTTAAAAAACTCTTGAAATAATTACGGTTAAATACTTATTTTTTTTGTAATTTTGGGGAACAGGATATTAACATATACAAGAAATTACTTAATTACATAGAAAATTAAATTTAGCCCTTAAAATATTGATTTCATATGATAATACCAATGTAAAATAAGTAGATCATTTTATACAAAAAAATTTGTACATTTTTGGGCCAAAATTGTGAAATGAAATTTAAATAAAATTTATATCTGCATCTGCTCCATACGAAAAATGACGGTATATTGCAAAATCCTAATATATAGGAAAATTTCATAAGTCAGTAAAACAAATATAGTTTCTCATTTAATTTAAATCGACACTATCACATTCGTCATAATATTAACGAAGCATTTGATTGCCCTTTGTATTTATTGCCCTGGATTTATTATTAGAATTAAACTCGATAAAATGGATACATTGAATAATATTTATGCCTAAACAATAGATCAGTGCAAATAAATAACACTGCAAAATGACTTTTGAATTAAAGCGGTAAATATTCAAACCACAACAATAAAAAGTTTTTTTGACAGCTTTAAATGCTATCTATCGGTCGTTATAATACAGTGTGAACCCTAAATACCTAAGTACAGAGTTTTCATAAATATTTATAAGCTACGTAACCGCCGAGCTTAGGCAACTGACATTACAGGGTTGGTACTGGTGTCGGAAAATTCCTAAATCTTGCCAATATTAATGATTCGTTTACAATGAAGAATGACAAACCGTTACGTCTACGCTCGAGATAATACGATCGCTGATTGGTTGAATAGAACCTCCTGAAAAATTACATCAGTTACAGCCGGTGAAACAAAATGTTGTGTTTTAATATAATCTTAATCTTATTGTTTCAATAATGTTTTATTTTACCGAAATGTGATTTGCCTAACATTAAGGAAATTAAGCATTTTTTTAGAAGTATAAAATAAATTGACATGATTTCATAAATGTATTGTTGACTTCGTCTTCCACTTACCACTGTACTTCTATCCTCACCAGAAATAGTTTTATTTCTATGTAGTGAAATGTGTATTTCTACGTATTGAGCTTTTACTGAGGAATGTGTACACCAAAACCAAATATGTACAACGTTTGCCATTAGATATATTTGGCAAATGTGCATACAGGGTGCCCCACTAAGGTCGGCGAAGTACGATATCAGGAAAATTATAGGCCCTAGAGCTTCGGGAAAAAATATTGAATAAATCGACCAAGAGAAATCACTGGAAATAGTTTTCAAGTTCGTAGCTCAGTCGTTAGGGGGCGCAGTCTACATACCAAAACATAAAGTTGAATTTTTCTCGAATATGTTTCCTATTCAGGTATATTCAATAATACAGATATGGCTAGCCGGCGTGTAACTTTTGTTACTGACATTTTGTTCTATCTCTCAACAGAAAGGGTGGCGGAAGCCGCTAATATCTGATCAGAAAAATGCATTTTTTTAAGGATTTGCTCATCAAAACCCCACAGTGTTAACCTCGTTGGAAAGGTCTTTTCATGCTTTATCTCGTGGTGAATGCGTAATGTCATTTACCTCAATATGGAAACCTATAGATGGCGTTATTTCAAAAGGATGCCGTTTTATCGATTTTTCTCAAAAATTTTAACTACAATTTTCTTTACATAAATGAGTTCAGCACAAAAAATTGGCACAAGTTTGAAATTTCTAACGAATGTGATGTTTAAATGGTATAGCCTATTTAGTTATTTATTTGCGCTGTTTATCCAAGTTTAGGTTGTTTCACGTTTTCTTAAAAAAGTGAAATGGAAGGATAAAACTTTTTATTGGTTAGTTTGAAGGACATAAAAATTAGCTACATTTTGACGCTAAAAAGGGATCGATATCTTTTTTTTGTTATCAAGTTATTTGCAAACAAGAGAGGATATCTTCGTCGGTATTCTCTTCAGTTGTAAATAAATGTATCTTGTATTTAGCACTTTAACGCTAAGTGACAAATGAATAAACAAAATGACAGTAATAAAAATTATTGTTATATCAGCCATCATTTTTATTTATCCATGATTGAAATATGAAATTATATTTTTTAAAATACTTGTAATTTCTAGTCAAAAACTAATCGGACCTATTTTCATATAAGAAGTGTTTGAAATTAACCCAGCTAGGTATATACCATCTGTGAAAGTTTGCCATAGAGCTTGTAGAATACCCTTAGCCCATCATTAAAAGCTCTCCATATCTGTATCTTCAGTAATTTTTAAGATAAAAAAAATGTCAAATAGTAAAAAAGTTTAGTAAAAACGAAAAGAGAGTCTTTCCAAACGTCGACGTATATTGTGAAAAGTGGTTTTATAGCGGTCCCTCCTATTCTCATTGTGAAATTCAAAATTACTATTTTTTAATTTTTTAATTTACAATATGACCAAATATCTAAAACAAAGAAAGAAAAATTACTTAAGAACTTCTTTCACTCAATGTAGTAATGTTTATTAAAATATTTTAATAAATTAAAATATTTGAATTTATTTTTTAATGAACTACGACCATATCAAAACAATGCCGTTAGTAGCATTCAGTTCCAAAATTTCTTTTTGTAATAATTTAGTGGACTACAAATTAGATAAATGCAAATTCCATGCCATTCAGTTTGTTTCTGAACGAAAACACATTATTTATCAATGATCTGATGGTACGTTCGTCGTAATCAACTACAGATTCTCAGGAGATAGAATTTGTGGCGTCCGAATTGGCAAACAAAGAATAATGGAGGTTCATATTTAATGTACGAGTATTTACTGGGTCTTTCATTAAAGTTATTGGATGACGGTAAGAAAATCGTTTATTTAGTGTAGTTATTTTTCTTTTTCTTTCGTCCGTAAACATAAAGATAAGTTGGATTTAAACAAAGATTAATGAAATTGAGATTAGTTTATCAGCAGAAAAATGTGTACTTTTTATGTTATCAGACGTATACCTATTCAGGGGGCGATTTCTTGGATTATCAGAAAAAAAGTGTGTTTTGCACCACTTTAAATTTTAATTTAAATATAATTTTATTAAAGTCATAAACTGCTAAGCTGCCACAGTGGTTTCTCACAGATCTGTTTTAGAGACAATATTTAAGGACAATAGGAATTGGTTAACTGAATTTTAACATCTTCATGTCTTTTCTCTTATTTTTTTCTATCTCTGTCTTCTTTCCTAAGACTCATGTATTGCAGATAAAAATGCCAAATTAAGCACAAAACATTTCAGTTTAATTGTGGACTATTTCGTGTCGTTGTAACTGCTGAACTCCAAGGAATTTGAATCCAAACTTAACCCAGTAATTAGACATGGCTAATTAAAATCGGGCTAATAATCCTGCTATTTGGCTTAAGCGTATTAACTGACTAATAACCCGTCTATATTTCTTTGACGTTTATAATTACATTTCAGTAAATGCGTTCAATCCCTCTTCATCGACAGTAATGTAACTAAAAATAACCATGAAAACAATAGCTTTGAGATGGGATAAATAAATACCAACGAAATAATTTAGCTAATGAACTTAGAAGCATTATAAACTTTTACTGAGCTATCAAGTTTTTATAGTCAAACTTTAAAAGTTGAGAGAAGACGTTATTCTAAAAAAAAATAAGTTCATCTAACCATAGCTAGTATAATGCTTCGTTTTCGAGATGGTCTTGAAATTAAAAAAAAAATCATATTTTTGAAATTAAAATAAACGTACAACATAATTGAACAAATCCAATATTAGTGCGATATTGATCTAAATAGAGAAATTCATTTGACCTGGTAGGGTAGTTTGGCACTCTTATATTAGATAATGATAATATTTAACTACAATTTATTCTGTTATGAAAAAGTTTATGAGTAAATTTTAAATAGGAACAGTGTCTCCTACATTTTAGAGATTGAATAGTAAGTAGTTGTAACCTTTCGCTATACTCATAATCATCTTTATTAATGTTCAGTTTAAAGAGCACAAAATTGCGTATTTTCTTTTAATACGCTCCAAACGGTCTACATGATCAGCAAAATGTGGGTTCCAAAAAATAATACAACAATATTCCAAAATTGAAGTTATATAAAAGAAAAATAGAAGTAACATTAGTGAAGTCTCCAATTTGTCGTTTAAAGAAACCACTCATTCTAAAACATTTGCTCAATAAATCTTCAATATGAGAAGTGATTTTCAATTCATAATCAAATTTTACTCCCAAATCCTTCACTGTCTTTACTCTTTCAAGTGTAATATTATCAATAAAGTAATCTGACAACCATATATTCTTTCTATGGGTAAAAGAAGTTAATTAATTATTATTTTGAACAAAAATAACCAGTATGTAATCAGAAGTAAAAAAAATCGTTGTCGCAATAATTTTATTTTATTAGGAGGTTACTAACCATTGCTATTTGTAAAAGTAAAACTACAATAAGAAGCTATGGCTACTATTAATACTGAACTTAAGTATGAACATTTTTATTGGTTTTATTTTGCCAAAATAATTTTGCACAAACTGCTTAAAAGAATATTAGGAAGATCTCATTGTACATTCAAAAGTTAAGGGCAATGTAGCAAAAGTAATAAAGTGCAGGTTTTTTTCATATATTTCCACGAAATAGTAGAAAAAAATAAGGAGGATGAATTTTTGGAGGTGCAATAAGAAAATCGAAATCTTGGAATTCAAGAGTTTATTAGTCCTCACTGATATAAGATGTATAAAAAAATATCGCTGGCGTCCATTATTTATAGTGTATGTGTGATTTTTGGTTCAGTTCGGACTAAAATCAGGTAAATAAATACGTAAAACACCATTTGCTGAAACTTCAGAAAGTTCGGAATGTACTACATGATGTACAGTAAAAAGATGAATTGATTCACAAAGATCACAAGTGATGGAAATGTTATCTTGCGTTACAAGAATTGTTTCAATTAGAGAACTGCATC